CTCACCATTGACCAGATGGAGACCGTGGTCTCCGCCATTGTCAATAAGGCAGAGGAAATGAAAAAGAAAGAACCGTCCCGGGCTCCCTTGCCTTCTGGCTCCTGGGAAGGTCCCTTGCGTAACCAGACCATGACCCTGCAAGTTGGCGAGTTCCAAGGACAGAGGATCTCCGTCTGGGAACTCCTCTTCTCCCAAAGCATTCCAGAAGGCCAAAGAGAGGAGCTGCTGATGAAATACCGATTGGGATCCTTGACCATTCAGGAAATGATCACCATCCTGACCTCACTTCACGCCAAGGACAGGCCTTCTTCCCCAGGAGAGGAAACCACTCTTCCCTCCCAGCACAATGAACTGGAACGCACCTTGCGACAGGTGACCATAGACGTGCCTGTGGGTGAGTTTCAAGGCTCCAGGCGATCCGCGTGGGAGCTCCTCTTCTCCAAGTACGTGACTGCGGCCAAGCGCCAGGAGCTGCTGCAGAAGTACCAAGAGAGGTCTGTGGCCCCAGGCGAGCTGGTCCAGATTCTCACCACCCTGATTGAAGAGATGGAAGAGAAGGGCAACCAGCTGAAGTTCTCGGGGCTCAGGAAGCAGGTGTCGGCCTCAGAACTGTTCAACTCCCACATCATCAACCAGGCCACACTCTCCGAGCTCGCGCAAGGCGCCAAGACGGTGGAGGAGGTCACGGAAATGGATTCGGTGAAGAGGTACCTGGAAGGCAACAGCTGCATCGCTGGCATGCTGGTGCCCTCCAGGACAGACCCTTCCAAGTCAGAGAAGATGACCATCTACCAGGCCATGTGGAAAGGCATTCTGAGGCCAGGCACGGCCCTGGTGTTGCTGGAGGCACAGGCTGCCACGGGCTTCATCACCGACCCCCTGGGCAATAAGAAACTGTCCGTCGATGACGCCGTCTCCGTTGAACTGGTGGGGGCCGAGCTGCGGGAGAAGCTTCTCTCTGCAGAGAGGGCTGTGACTGGCTATAAGGACCCCTACACGGGGAACAAGCTCTCCCTCTTCCAGGCCATGAAGAAAGGTCTCATAGTCAAAGAGCATGGGATCCGCCTGCTGGAAGCCCAGATTGCCACGGGGGGCATCATCGATCCTGTGCACAG